TCCTAGTGTGGAGGACATAACCTCTGATTTCCATTTTAGTTCAGCCATTAATGAGAGAGAGAGAGAGAGAGAATCCATGTAACTTGTGCTAAACTTAAACAAGAATCAATTCTGCAACCACAGACCCGTGGCTTTGTTAGTTCCTCAATTTAACATCTTAGCTTTTCCTTCCGGCAGAAAACACTGACCATATTTGAGAAATGCCTTATACTGACAAAGACCTGATTCTGAAGTTGAGCAAAACTTTTTTAAAAACTTGTTAAGTGGGTCACCTTTATCCTCTGTTTTTCTACTCACAATTAAAACACTTTCATTCTTAAACAGTTTTCAAGACACCTATATTTGGCCATTACTGAACAACTATAGTTATGGGTACTTGGTATAATAATTAAATTTCTCAATTTATCCATGACTGTCAGTCACTACACACTAAAAAATGTGAATGCTACTTGACTAAAATGATCCTTAACTTGTAAGATTCGGAACCTTTCCAAGATTTTCAAGTTAAAGGTCATGTTTTATGGCCTGTGCTTTGGTGAACACTGATTACAGTCACAATCGAGAAGGGCTGGGTGTGTGAGGATGCTGATGGTGATGATAACAGAATAGTCAGTTTGACAACAGCTGCTCTTTCTCAAGAAAAATGACAATTATCTGAGCTTAACTTCAGAGGCTAGGCACACAAAAGCACTAACAATTTGATGTTTATTCTAGGATGTTACTCTGGAATCCAATAGCTGACACAACGGCCATCCAATTACAGAAAATTAAACAAAATACATAAATGAATGAACTTGTCTTCAAAGATGAAGATGATGTCATCACCTCATAAGACTGCTGTGATGCCTGCTGGCTTCATATGGCTAAATCCTTCGACTAATGCCCAATTCTGGTGGCTCACCAGTTAAAAGCACTGGTTTCATTCCCAGCACCCACATGAAGGCTAACCACCGTCCATAACTACAGTAATCATTGTCTGTAACTCCAGTTCCAGGGGATCAGACACCCTCTTCTGATGTCCCTGGGTATTGTACCCATGGGTACAGTTACATACATGTGGGCAAGACAATGACACACATTAAATAAATTAATCAATATGTTTAAGTGCCCAATTCCAAGTAGGTAACACATCATCTGCTGTTGTTAGGGTGGTCATGGACCTTCCTCCTCCTTCTGTCCTCCCTCTGCTGCTTGCAGTATCTTACAAGATGCAGTGATTAAGCAACTGCTGGGAAGGTGGATGCAATGATAGAAATTGACAAACCAAAACAACAGGAAGAGTGAGTGGTATAAGACAGGAAGTGGAATCAGAAGGGAACTGAGGAGAGCACCAGGGGGATGCCATCTGGGGAATACAGTGGGTTCAGCAGCTAGAGCAAGACTTCTGGGAGACAGATATCCAATCAGTAGGCAACTTCTAATGACTTCGGAAAGCCACCAGTGTTTTGATATAAGAAGTGCATTGTCATCAGGCAAAACAGGGGTTCTTGAAACTCTTCAAGTTTGTTGACTTATTAGTTTTATGTTTTAATGAGCCCTAATTTCAATTTTGTTTTGCAGTGCATTTGTTTTGTACTACAGACCAAGTAGCATCATTTCATTGGATATCTGTAAACCGAGAAACAACCAAAACCCCCAGGAATCCTAGGGAGAAACTTCAGTAAATCTAACAGTGTCACTCTGCTGTAATATCTGTCATTAGTCATAAAGTACAGTGCCTCTATAATATGACCTTATTAAACATTTGGTTCTTCCCAAACAGAATCTAAATGCGCGAATCTCTTAATTTGTCTCCTACAACCTGATTTTAAAATTCATTCATTGTCTCTCCTGTATGTACAGAGGGGCCTGCACTCTTTAAGTAACAAAGAGAGTTGACTTGAGAATTTTCTAAGAACAACCCAGAGTGATTAAGTAAAAGTTGTGTGTCTTTGTGGTCATTGTCCTAAATGAAGGCCTGTCTTGGGACTCAGTTTGTGCAGCCAGCCAAGCATCGAGTATATTTCCACTATAATGATGAACCTGTCGTTTATTTCTGCAGGCCAAGGTCACCATATACTTTCTTATGTTGTTGAAGTCATTGTCCATTTGGTGCTTTGAAGCTAAAGTGAAGAATAAGGCTTTGGCAAAGGTGTAGAATGTTAGGTTCAAATTAATAATGACTGCTGTATCCTCCTTCATAGAGAGCACTGCAGGAGCTCGGCAAGGACGAAACTAGTAAGAGAAGTCAAATACTTCCGGGCCACGGATTTCTCTCCCCACTTACAGAGTTTCTGAGGCAGAACTCAAACTTAGCATTTCTAAAAAGTAACCAGCTCCTACTGGTGCTATTTGACTTGTGACCACATTTCAGAATCACAAATCTAGTTAAAAGGAATTCTCCCAAATAATATCTCAATAATTCATCCTTTCAACAATGCTTTTGTATGAAAGACATGTTCAAAGAAAACAGGCATTCACAGAAACGATTCTTGCCCGTCCTTGTCTTTCACTACCTAGTACTGCCTCATTCCAGTAAGTAATAAGTAATAAGCCACCTAAGATTCTTGTGCAGTTCAAATAACTGGCAGAGTTCTATCACATGGAGCCAAAGATTATAACAGTCTCTCCAATAAAAAAAAAAAAAAAAAAAAAACCGACAAATGTTCATTTCAATAAATATCACTGTGCCAGGAGAGACGCAGAAAGAACTCAGGTCTCTGTGTGTGTAAGGGCAGGAAAGAAGAATGATAGGATCAATGCTGTACCGATCCTAAGGTCAATGATTAGACTAGCCCGGAGACGAAACGGTGCAGGTACAACAAAGAGGGAAGGCCCGTGGACGGCCTGTTTCCCGATGCGAACCTTGGAAAATGGTCAGAAGTTTTACAAAGAGAAGAGAAGCATTAAAGAAACAGAGTGAAAAGGAGTGAAAGAGCATGGAACTTTCTGGTAGCTTGTGGTCTGGTGCACCCAGAATGTGGGTAAGCAAGAGGGGGAGGGTATGAGTAAGGGCTGGTGCAGGAGGAAGTGACAGAAAAGAAGGTTGGGGAAGTGGGCTCAGGCAAATGTATGAAGGTGTAAAAATCCTTAGTAAAACTGCATGAACGAATCATTCCACTGTTACTTGAAATCTACCATGGTGTCTTTTTACAAAAAGAAGAATCCTTTTGAATATTTTGCAATCTTTTCCCTCTGTCTTTCAATCTCTCTGTGTGTGTCTTTCTCTGGTTTCTTTCTCTTTCTTGCTCATTCTGAAAACAGTATCAGGCTCTCTGATCAGCTTCACTGATGTAAGCTTCTCCCTGGGGCCAGCGAGCTGCTTGGAAGGCCGGACCTATCACCAACAGACAGACAAAGCCTGAAGCCTGAAACCCAGGCCACCTCTTGCCCCACCCAGACTGCCTATGACCTTGGGCCAGCTCCTTCAGCTCTGAAGCCCACTCCTGATCTCCCCAGGCACTTGACAGAGAACTGAAGGAGGTCGTGTGGCTGCACAAAGTAAGTAACCACATGTATCACAGCTAGCTCTCCAGAGCAACACCTGCTAGATCGACAGACTCAAGTTCAGATCATAAAACTTTGCACCTGCACTGGACATGTACTGATATTTTCCTTGTTATCATCCCCCTGGACAAAACAGTATAACAGTAGCTACACAGTAGCATATACAGTGTTCTAAATTATATGAGACTTGAGTGTCTGCAGGTTTGGGTATTGGCAGAGGTCTTCTTCCTGTTCTTGCTAATTTAAATGTACACATTTGAATGAAACGTTACTTATTAGTCACCCTTCTCCAAGAGTTCTAAGGTAGAAGTGTAAATCAAGTTAGGACTCTGAAATTCTTTCCATCAAGGACAAAGCAGTAGCACAGACAGAAGGTGAGATTTAGCGGAGGAAATGTCCTTCTTAGCACCACTGTAAACCACCACAGTGTGCTTTTTCCAGGACTAAGATCCTCCCCAGTTCCTCCTCCTTTTAAAAAAGTTTAATAGAAACTAGCTATGATCGAAATGAAGATGTGTGCCGACAAGCCAGCACGCTTCTATTAACCGAGAGTTGTTGTTTTAAGCTGTCCTGCTTGAGAAGTTTTAGACAAGTGGCTAACGCTTGCTGAAGAAACAATGGTAAGTGTACAGATAGATGTGTCATTGGCAGTCTGAATGCTTTGTGTTTATTCATCTGTCCCAGCATCGTTGGATAGTGATAATAAATAAAATCTGATAGATACTACAATGCAGTAAAGCTCTATGTTTCAGCAGGTTAAAATTTCCTTTATAGACAGAAGGCTTCCCTTCAGAATTCAACCTAGCACTCATTTGTATGGCTGCAAGCATTAACAAATAATCCAGACAGTCCTACAAAAAAACAGTACAAGCCAAGGACACTAATTGCTTTATTTTTAGAAAACAGATAAAGGAGAGGAGACCTCTAATTCTATGTGGTTAGGAAGCACTGGCATTAAAAACCATGGTGCCAAAAATCACTCACATAACCAGTATCACATTTGGTAACATATGACCTAAAATGTTAATATTCCCATAGAAGGACTACACGGAAGTTTTTGTTTTGTTTTTAAGAAAAACAAACAACCACAGAAGCTAAAATTAAACCATTCCCATTAGTCCAACAAGAAGCAATCTAACTGATCAATATGCACTTTCCTGAAAACATTTTAAAGTAGGCAAAATCACAGCAAATGTTCTTCCTGAAATAGAGCAATAGGCATACATCAGAGCATGGTCTGGTTTCAAAAGAGGGGAGAAAAGTCATAGTCTTAGAGGAGTGATAACTGTGAATAACTTCATATGAACCAACCCAGGGAACCTAACTGCTCCACCCCAAGGGCCACCCCAAGGGCTGCAGGTCCCCCCCAGCGGCTGGAGGGAGGCAGGACACACAGAGCTCAGAGTACAGGTACTCAGATCTGGAGCCCGCTTAAGGCAAAGCTCAAAGTCCACAGAACCAGAATCCCAACTGTATCCCAACCACTTAGAAGAAGCAAAAGGAAGCAACTGTACCTTGTAGAAAAACTGTTCTTGGTGGTGCTGGTGTCTGATCAGAAACCCTGGTCTTTCTGATCTGCAGAACAGCTTTGTCAAGCCTGGGGTGTGTGGTCACAAGGCAGGAAGTCACTGCAGTGACAAATCACCAGCCAGGAAAGAAATAGATTTTGTCTTTATAAGGACATTTTACTTAACTTTTTTTTTTCATGTCCCCTCCCCCTAAAAACATCACCTGACAACAGGTCACAGTGAAATCCAGAAGCCTCCTTCCACTTCCTCTCTGAGAGCATTCTGCTCTGTCCTGAGGTCCTCTCTCAGCTGTCTCTAAGTAGGCCCTGGGCTACTTAAACCTTTCTGATTATAGATAGGGACAGAAGGTCAGCTTGCTAGCTGAACTTTTTTGTCTGACTCTTAGTTGCTCAAAGCAAAGCCCAGGTGCCTACCTACTTACCTCAAATTATTCATTTCTAATGAAAGAGCTAAGGGCGAGTACCTGAGACAAACAAAGGGATTTCCTTGAGAGAAACCAAATCCTTCTTGAGTCCCTTAATAATGATCTTATTGGAGCAAACAAAACAAAACGGTCTCTTTAAGAGCAGCACTTGTAAAGTACTATATTATTTACCCATTCTTTTATTTATAGAACAACACCCATGTGCTAAGGCTCTCTTTAACCTAATTAGTGATTTCAATTATTTAGATGTTTCCTATAAAGAACACTGGTGGATAATAAAGGCAGTTGCTTCTAAAAGGGTAGCTTCATGCCTTTATACAGACTAGATTTTTAATGCACAATTTATAAAGCTTGCATGGAGAAAAAAAATCTCCTTTGTGCATCCCAAACCCCAAATACTTGTCTTTAGGGCAAATTCCTATCTTCAAATATAAAATCCCCAAGTGCCTGTACTGGTTGTGAATACTGTGGGCTCTGGGTTGTGTTGACTGACTATTGAGCACAATTTATCATTGCCTGGAGTCAATATGTCTCTAGCAGAAACAGGGATACTACCATTTAGCAATGGGGACATAGACCACGGCTGGGCGCCCGGGTCAGATGGTGAGTTGAGCATATCTGATCCTTCTTAGGCATCTATGTTTTCTGGGAGCTGTGACTCCTTCCAAGGCGTGGCAGTATTCCATTGGTTGTGGGAGCTGATTTCCCTAATAAGTTCCTGGTCCTATCCTCAAATTTTAAGCCAAACTCTTCTAATCTCTGTCATCAGCCCATGGTGTAGCAATTCTGTACTCAGAAACCTACACGGTTCATAATGGGGAAGAAAGTAGGCACAAGATAGAGAAGACATGGGAAGAAGGTGTTTGTTCTAGACATGGTTCTAGAGGACATTCTAGAAATAGTTCTAGAATGAACATTTTCTTGATGTCTTAAGTAAGAATAAGGAGGTGAGTGGGACCCCAATTAATAATGGCAGGGAGGATTCAAGGGTTCCCACCATCAGGGTGCTGGGAACCGAACCTGGGTCCTCTGGAAGATCATCTAGTTCTCTCGACTGCTGAGCCATCTCTCCAAAGTGCACCTGATTTTTTTCTTTCTTTTTAAAAATTTATTTTATGTGTATGAGTGTTTTGCCTGTGGGTATGTGGGTGCACTGTGTCTGTGCAGTACCTGTGGAGGGTAGAAGATGGCATTGGATTCCCTGGACCTGGAGTTAAGATTGGGTTGGTTCTTAGCTACCATGAGGGTGCTGGGAACCAAACCTGAGTTCTTTAGGAGAGCAATCAGTGCTCTCCACCGCTGAGCCATGTCTCCTGAGTGCACCTGACTCTTTTCAAGACCCTGAAGGAACATCCCTACATGGTGCTTATAGGACTGACCACACCATACAGCAGTGAAACACTGTGGCTTCCACTCTAGTGGGAACAGTCCTCAAAGTCCTGTAGCAAGATGCCATAGACAGTGTCTTGATGGGCTTAAGGGTGAAATGTGCTGTGACTGGGTATCTGCCCAGTCTGGTTCTACATCCTTATGGTTTCAGGATGGAGTGAAACCCAATAGTCATGTCTCATAAAAAGGAACCAATCCACATTTCATTTACCTGGGAGACAGAAAGCAAGAACATTCTGTATGTACTGGTACCTGGTCATAGGTGGCACAAGGAATCTATAAAGAGGAAAACATACTTTTGCATTGTGAGTGCCTGTCAGAACTGGTGATTGAGAGAAATAAAACACAATCATTGCTCTCTGGAGTACAAGGTCCAGTGTGGGAAACATGTATGTAGGTAAATTCCATGTACAATAGAGGGGTGAGAAACCAGCATCGTGTGAAGAAGATGCAAATTTGAGGAGAGTTGATATGAAACATTCATGGTTATAACTAGGACCCCAGACAATGCCTAGATTGGAGAAGATGAAAGTCAATGCACTGGGTTTGCTTCTAACCATGTAGGTGACAGAGTTCCCTTCTACCTTACAACCAGCACAGCTCTGATCCGCCTCAGCCACCTGTCACCCTTTCAGTCACATCTGCTCCCTCATGGGTGTTCTCTTCATCTGCCTCTCAGTGGTGAGAATCTACCTAGGTGTAAGAAGTTTTTTAGGAGGACTTAGAGCCAACCTTCCCAAAGAGGAATGTTTTATCAATTAGTGTTTAAAATTGTTCATGATGATGAACAGGGGTAACTTTTAGTTTGATGTTGCTTTTAGTTTCTCTAAAGACAGTGCTCCCCTTTGCCCTGTCTCCCATCCTCCTTCCACAGGCCTCTGCTGCCGCCTCTTCCACAGAACCTCAGCCTCTGCTCTGCCCTTCCTGGAATCCTCCTACCTTCCCTGGCTTCATCTGGTATCCAGGCCTGCTCTGCAGACACAGTCTCAGTCCCTAATACTAGCTCATCTGCACAGTGGAGTAGCTGAGTAAAAGTGTTGGCTCAAGTACCCAGGGTCGAATCTCAGCATTACTGATGAACTTGTGTTACTTTGGACAAATGATTTAGTATCTCTGGCCTTGGGGATCTTCATTTAGAAGGTGCGATAAGAATAGTGTCTGTTTTGCGCAGTTGTGAGGGTTAAGCACACTAATGTGTAGAGAACTTGGAAAGTTGCCAATCAGCAGAGTAAATTCTTTATGTTAACTGGTCATTTAATATTTATGTGAGGCTGCAGACTAAACCCTTCATATGTATATATAAAATTTCATTTATTTTCCACCAATAGCACCATGAATAGCACATTGTTTTCTTCTTTTATTTTATTTTATTTCTTAGTTTTTTTGAGACAAGATCTCTCTGTAGCCTCAGCTGACCTGGAATTTCCTATGTAGTTCAGACTGGTCTTGATCTCACAGAGATTCTCCTGCCTCTGCCTCCTGAGTGTTGAGATTAAAGGCATGTGCCACCATGCTTGGCTTGTTTTTCAATACTTTTTTTTTTTTTTTTGGTCTTTTTGAGACAGGGTCTCCCTGTAGCTCCAGCTGTCCTGGATTCACCATGGAGACCATGCTGACCTCGAACTCACAGAGATCTGCCTGCCTCTGCCTCCCAAGTGCTGGGATTAAAGGCGTGTGCCACCACGCCTGGCTACTATGAATATTTTTATTAATATTTGCATACACATTTTGTGGGGTTATGTTATTTTTAATTTTTTAATCAAAAGCATATGTACACATAGTTTTAGAAGTTCCAAGGCTCATTATAAAGTACCACTCTCCTGACAACACGCTCTTTCTCATTTCTGGTTCCCAGAAACAACTATTTTCAATAGTTCAGCTCTTTCCTCTGCTATCAACTCTATATTTTAAAAAATTATTATTTATTTTTATTTTATGTGCATAAGTGTTTTGTTTACATGTATGCTAAGTGCACTCATGTCATGCAATGCCCATAGAGGCCAGAAGAGAGTGTCAAATTCCCTGGAATTAGAGTTATGGGTGGTTATTTACTGCCATGTGGGTACTGGGAACCAAACCTGGGTCCTCTGCAGGGCAACCAGTGTTCTGAACAGCTGAGCCATCTCTCTAGCCCATCAGCTCTACATTTTTTAATACTATGTTTATACTATATCTCAGTTGCTTAGACAAGTGTACATAGAGATGATATATGTGTGTTATTTATATATCTTGTTTATAATACATTGATTTCTACTTCCTGTTTGACCCTTACCCACCATCTATTTTGTAACAACTTTTTCATTAAATCAATACTCAGTTTTTATAACCACTATCAAAATATGCATAACTGGCCTGGGGAGATGGCTTTGTGGGTAAAAGCATTTACCACAGAGCATGGGGCCCTGAGTTTGAATCTTCAGCATTCACATAAAGCTGGGCATGGCAGCACATGTCTCTAATCTCAGCACTCCCACAGCAAGATGGGATACTCAAAGACAAGGTGGAGATCGAGGACTGTTAGCTGAAGTTGAACTCTGACCTCCACATGCACCACACACACACACACACACACACACACACACACACACACACACACAGTCGGGAGTAATGGAATGCACTATGCTTTTGTATTTTTTTAAAAAATTGCTAGGTTCCCTGTATACTTCTTATGAATACCATACTGACCTCTCTAACAGTGCTAAAATGGGGGCGGAGGGGGGGGATCAAAGCACGAATCCATTCCTCTCCTGAAGCCTTCTGAAGTGCGGTCCTTCTGTCTGGTCAGGTGTCTGCTGCAGAAGGGCCCACCATCCCTGCTCTGGGCTAGAGCTCCTGTCTCTAGGCCACACACCTTCCACTTTCTTGGTCTACTTCCTTGTTTTAGTCAAGCACATCCTCTACTAGATTCCGAAGAATGCACAGGCATAAGTTTCTCAAGACATTCAGCAGCTGAAAACACATATGGCCTACCCGCGTTCTTGGAAATCCACTGGGAAGTCATTTTTCCCTCAGGGCTGTGCAAGAATCGTTCAGCGCCCTCTGGGTTAGTGCTGCTGTTGAGAAATCACATGCCTGTCCTCTCATGTCATTTCTGCTTTCCTCTGGAGTTTCAGGATCTTTCCTTTACACCTGGTATTCTGAAATGCTTGCCTCATAGGGCTCAGTGCAGGTCTGTTTCCATCCACTGAATGAGGTTCTCCATGATCTCTTTTAATCTGGAAATTCAAGTCTTTCCATTCTGAGCTATTCTTTCTTCCCTCGCTCCCCCTCTCTTTCTATCTATCTATCTATCTATCTATCTATCTATCTATCTATCTATCATCTATCTACATATCCATTCTATCTATTCTATCATCTATCTATCATCTATATAGATATCTTCTATCTATTTACTTGAGAAAGGTCTCATTATGTTGCCCTAGCTGGCTTGGATTTATCAATTGATCTCTCTCTCTCTCTCTCTCCCAACAATAATCATCTATCATCTATATCACCATCATCTATCTATCTATCTTCTATCTATCTATCTATCTATCTATCTATCAATCATCTATCTATCATGTATCATCTATCCATCTATCTGAGAAAGGTCTCACTATGTAGCCCCAGCTGGCTTGGAACTTGCTATGTAGACTAGGCTGGCCTAGAACTCACAGAGATCCACCTGCTTCTGCCTCTGCCTCCCAAAGGCTGGGATTAAAGGCATGCACCACCACTCCCAGCTTCTGTTCCTTTCTTCCCCTCCTGCTCCTCTTTCCTCCATTTTTCTTTTCCTGACACTACATTATTTGCATATTGTGACTCTCGGGTTGGTTTTCTCCCTCCCCCTCAACACCTTATTTTCTGCCTTTTGACCTTCATGTTCTACTGTCAGAAATTTTCAATTTTTTTTCCAAAATTTCTACTAGATGTGCTGTTTCTGGTATTATTGTTTAAATTTATGTTCTAGTCCATTTTGTGTGATTATCACAGAAAGCCAAAGACAGTAAAATTTAGAAAGAACAAATATAATCACTGACTCATAATTCTGGGGATGGGAAAAGTCCAGTATAAGCAGCAGCATGTGGTGAGGTCTTGTTACTATGTCATCATGTGGTAGATGGTAAGTGGGTACAAATCAAAAGGGGGCTGGAACCTCCCTTTTGTAATGTCATCAGAGCAAGGCTTCCCTGGCCTAATAACCTCTTTAAAGTCCCACCTTCCAATGCTATTACAATGGTGGGCAAGCTCTAACAGGGACGGATAAGGGGACAAATACTCAAACCATAGCCATAGCCAAAAGCCCTTTCCTTTTTTCTGGATGTTTTATTTTTATAGCAAGGTAGAGGACAGGATGGGTGGGGAATGTGTCTCTGCCGTTTATATAAACTACCAAACTTCCCGTGTTTAGACTCCATCTTGTACCTTTGCCTCCAAAAGGATCTTGTAGACCAGAGTCCTGAGTTCTGCTGGGTGCCCATGGTGTGATGTGTATTGCTTCTGGCATCACAAGCTTGGTGTTCAGCTTTGTCTCACAGTCCATGGATCTCAAGGCCCCCAGCATTCTGTTGGGATCTTGTTTTTTATGGTTCATTTGCTAATTGGTCTCCAAGATGTTCTGGAGTTCTACAAGGTCAAGGGCTGAGTTTGTTTTATTACCTTCTGAACATTGTACTAGGCATTTCACAAATGTCTATTAAATTTATAAAGAGGACTAAGCTGGGACCGGAAGGATGGGACGGAAAGCACAGTAATGGTATGTGTGAAAGACTGTCAGGGAGAGAAAGCAAGGAACATTAAGAACCAAAGCTGAGCACTGTGGCAGTCAAGAGTACAGAGCTGGGGTGTGCATGGAGGAGAGGGCAGAGGCCAAGCAAAGCCCAGTTAATGCCGGGTCTCTAAGCTAGGTTATAGAGCTTGGCTCTGCCTGCATCTTAGGGTTTACCAGAGAGGCGGAATAGGATGTATACATCTGTATGCATATATATATGTACACATACTCATATACTTATATATGTGTGATTATATACACACACCCAAAAAGATTCATAAGAACTGGCTGGTGCTACTACAGAGGGTGACTATTCTGTACCTTCAGGAGAGCCTGGTGTAGCTGTAGTCTGAACTTAGCACTCTAGTAGGCTTGAGCCTCAGGAAAAGCCAGGGTTTCAGTTTGAGTACAAAGGGTAAAGAAGCCAACGTCCCGGTTCAAAGGCAGTGGTCAGGGAAAAATCTCTCTGTGATTCTCATTAACTTGGGGGAGAGACTGCCTTCTCTGGTATCCAGGACTCTCCTAACAGGAGTTAGGAAACTTCTTATAATTGAACTCTACTCAGTGCTTAGTGTCCTTGTCTTTAACCTTTGATTTCTAACTATCGAATCCTTTCCCAAATGCTCTTTTCCTCTTTTCCATGAATAACTGTTGGCATTTAAATGTAACGTGAACAATTCTGAAACTCCTCAGTAGATTAGAGGAAGGCCACCAACGTTAGGGAGGGCCACCTGTTTTATTCAGCCTACCAACCTAAATGTTAACCTCACACAAATACACTATCACAGAAAAAAAATTTTTTGAGTGAATACCTGGGTACTCCGGCACTCCATGGGTTGACCAAGTTGACACATAAAATTAATCATCATCCCCTTCAAGCAATGGAGAGAGCTATTTTTAGGATCTCTATTAGTTTCCTGGGGCTGTACACAGGACTACACACTAAATGGTTTAAAATAACAGAAATATACTTTCTGTAGGTTCAAGAGGCTAGAAGTTTGAAATGAAAGGTGTTGATGGATTGGTTCTTTCTGAGGATTGTGAGAGATGCTTGTTCCTTGCCTCTCTCAGAGTTCCTCACTGGTTACAGGCACCCTTTGTCATCCCTGGTTCCTAAAGACATCACTCTGATTTCTGCCTGTGTCTATTTGTCTCTATGCCCACATTTATCCCCCTTTTAAATTTTGTCTTATTTATTATTTTTATTTTATGTGTATGAGTGTATTGCCTGCATGTATGCGGGTGCACCCATGTCGTGCAATGCCATGGAGGTCAGAAAAGGGCTTTAGATTCCCCTGGAACTGGAGTTAAGGACAGTTCATAGCCGCCATGTGGATGCTGGGAATCAAACCTGGGTCCATGCCATGGAGGTCAGAAGAGGGAGTCAGATTCCCCTGGAACTGGAGTTAAGGACAGTTCATAGCCACTATGTGGGTGCTGGTAATCAAACCTGGGTCCTCTACAACAGCAGTCAGTGCTCTTAACCGCTGAGCCATCTCTCCAGTCCCCATATTTCCCCTTTTTAAAAGAAGACAGTAATATTGGATTATGCTCCATCGAATGATCTCATCTTAATTTGACTGTCTCCAAGCACCTTATTTCCAAATAAGGTCACAATTGTAGGCACTTCAGTACGGGACCTCAATATTTTTGTTGGGATGCAATTCACTAAAGAGGCATAAATAGGAAGTATCAAGAGTGGCTTGTGGACAAGTACTTTAGGACTTAGGAGGAAAAGGAAGAAAAGTGGTACTAAAGGAAGGTGCAGGTCAGGGCCAGCATGCAGTTCGTGCTATTTGCCAGATGCAGTCTCACAGGTGCCTGTGCCCAGAAGGGCTCCACATGAGGCTTAATGCTCTGCTGCCATCGTCTGAAAAGTCTTCACTTCCCATTTATGCCCCATGTTAAACACCAATAGAGAGACACACAGAGAACTACAAAGACACAAGGGATAGAGTCCCAGGCTTTTGAATGTTGTCATCTCAAAAACGGTAAGTCTGCGAAATGACTGATATATGCAATTTTACCAAATTTTGTTTGTGGGATAAGTGTGTGCCTATGTGTGTAGAGGCTAGATGTCGACACCTGGTGTCTTCCTTCATCACTCTCCACCTTATTTTTGGAGACAAGGTCTCTCACATAACCTAGAGCTTGCCAAACATGCTGTCTGGCTGACCAGTCAAGTCCTTGGCATCTTCCTATGTCCACCTCCCCAGGTCTGGGATTTCCAGTGTGTGCCACCATGCTTGACTTATTTGCTTGGGTACAGGGTATTGATCTCAGGTCACTGTACTCACTGAGTCATCTCCCCAGCCAAATATTTTGTTAATTAAGGAACAGAAGAGGACTGGGGAGACAGCTCAGTGGGTAAAGCACTTGCCAGGCAAACATGGGGACCTGAGTTCAGATCTCCAGCACCCATGAAAACACCAAGCTGAAGTGGCAGCCTGTCTATAATCCCAGAATAGGCAGAGATGGTGTCACCAGAGCAAGCTGGATAGCTGGGCTAGCTGAATCGGTAAGCTCTAGGTTATGTGAGAGACCCTGCCTCAATACATGAAGCGGAAAGTGATGGAGAAGCGCACTAACAGCAGTCTCTGACCTACATGCATGCCCACAGGCATGTGTGCCCATGCACCTAAAGACACACATACATGTAGGCATACAACACACATTCATACACACATACACACATATCACATACCACATATCACACACATACACACATATCAAGAGAAGAAAAAGGAAACAAAAGACAATGATGTATATGACTGGGCTTGAGAAGTGTTTAGAAACTGGCCAGGCAACTGAGAGAGACGAGAGTGAGGATTGTTATTTCAGACATAAGGGCCAGCAGACATAAACATCTCTCAACTGAGACTCAGCCTCTGGAACATAGGTAGCATCTCCCACAGCACCTAATGTACACTGCACATAGACAAATTTGATACATATTTTGATCAGTTGAGAAGGCAAATTGATTCTATAAACAACATACCATTTATAAGTTACACCAAAAATACTTTAAATATATATAAACACACACATATATAGATACTTTAAATATAAATCTAAAATTCACTCTCAAGTATAATAGGTCTTACAGATAATTTATATAGGCAGCTGTCACATAAATGTTGAGTTTACATCTATCTAATTCTAATTTTACCACCCTTTTCTGATAAGGGATATACTCAAAAGCAAATTAAAGTTGTATTGTCGGGTAGATCATAAAGAAAAAAGGGCTGTTCATAGCTTCAAATTTGATTTTCATAAAATGTCAAACACATAAAAATGTTATCACTACAATATTCCTAGGTATTAAAAAATGGAATTCAGCAAATGATGCAGGTTACAGCTGTTTTAAAAGTAGAAAATTCACATACCTGTGGCTTCTAAGAAGTCCCTAGATGCCCACTGACATTTTCCAACCCATTGCCACCAAAGAAGGCACAGAAACAGATGCAGGCTTCAATGAATGTGTGCCACTTACCTGCAGGGTCCCACCTGGGAAATACAAAATTCCTCCACTTTTATAAGCAGAGCTGCTTTGACAGCCGTGTTTGAGGCTCTCCCAATCACCAAGTATTCAATACAGGAACAAAGTTGTGAAATAAACCTACAGAAAATGAAAGTCTGAATAAAATATTGTAAGGGAAGAGTAAACATGTAAAGTCAAGATCCTTTTAACAATGCAAACCTAAAAAGTAAGCAAATAGAAATAAAATAAACTGATAAAATGTCTGAGAAGGATAGGATAAGGTAAAAGCAAAAGATCTGGAGTTAGAAAGCATCAAGGGAAAAACTCTGACTCTGTGAACCCATGGATCCTGCTGAGGGGGAATCCTTTTGTAGTTAAACCTACATGCATTTTTGGGGAAACCCTACCTCTATATGTTACAGGGTTACTTTTTAGATTAAAGGAAATGTGTTAACATGTTTTCATAGGAGTTCCTCTTTGCTGTCAAATTTTAGCTGAATGTGAATTTCATAGACTACACAAAACCTCAATATTCATTCTTTCATCAAGTTTATTCAGTCTTGTTAAACTCAAGGAGGAAGCAAGGGAGATAGTCAGTAAAGCACTTGCCTTGCAAAAACAAGGACCCAAGTTGTTCCCAGAATCACATAAGAAAAACAAACAAAAAGACAAGCTCTTATGTACTTGTCTTCTCAGAACTGGGGGGGTGGAGACCGGCAGATCTCTGGGGCTTGTTAGCCAGCCAACATTGCCCACTTGGTGAGCTCCAGGTAAGTGAGAGACCATGTCTCAAAAAAAAAGTGGCTGGTGCCTGAGGAATGGCACCTGGGGTTGTCCTCTTCCTTCCGCAGTCATGTGTACACACACACACACACACACACACACACACACACACACACACACACACTCACACTCACACACTGTGCTGGATAGCTATAGTGTCAACTTGACACATCTGGGTTGGAGGAGCCCCAGTTGGGAATTGCCTCCATTGCACTGGCCTGTGGCCATGTCTGTGGGGCATCTTCTTGATTATTGAGTGATGTGGGAGGGCCCAACCCACTGTGGGTGGTGTCACCCCAGTCAGGTGGGCCTGTATTGCACAAGAAAAGCAGACTGAGCAGGGGCCAGGGGAGCAAGTCAGTAAGCAGCATTCCTCCATGGCCTGCGCTCCAGCTTCTGCCTCCAGGTTCCTGCCCCAAGTTCCTACCTTGGGCTCCCTCAGTTATGAACTGTAACCTGGGACATGTAAGCCAAATAAACCCTTTCCTCCCCAGGTTGGTATTGGTCAGAGTGTTTTGTCACAGCAATGGAGAAACAAGCTAGAACACACATATATATGGAAGGAAGAAGGAAGCTTTGGGGAAAAGAAGGAGGACTTCAGTGAGAGTCAGAGGGGAATAAGAGAGGTTAATATGGGGTGAATATGACCAAAATATACACGTGTGAAATTATAGAAAGATAAATAAAAAATTTTTTTAAAGAACTACGAAAAACTAATTTCCATTTCACCAGTGTGCAAGATCTGCTTCATCACTGCTCTAAAAGTGCCACCAAATATTAAAACTTGGTTCTGCCTGCAATGACATCTAAATTCATTCTCTCCTTTTCTTGTGATTTTATGCCATCTGCAAGCTACTCAATTATTAAGAACAGAGCAGTGAATAGGATGGAATTGCCCTCTGTTTTTGAAATTCATTCTTCTTTGTTTCTAAATCTCTTAGGACTGAACCTCTATAGCAGTTAACATTATCCTTCCTGCTGTCCATTGGCTGTGCACTCTTTAGAGATAAAGACTGGGTGGGTGCTTGTCAGCCAGCAGAGGGATCCTTCCTTTAAATGAAGTAGCCATAAAAGGTGAAAAGTACATGAGCCGTGATCACCTATTTAACTCTACTGAGTTAGTAGTTTTTGTGATCATTACAGAGAGTTTGGTCAGGGGTCTACATAGCAGGGGTCTGCTCACCCTTAGGAAGATCTCTTTGTTCTTCCGAACTCTAAGCAAAGCAATGAGATGATGAGAAGAAGAATGCAGGGAGGGAGGGAGGAAAGCAGGGAGGGAGGAAACAATAGAGACTTTTTATCTAGCCTAGACAGAGCTTGAACTTGTGATATGCTCGCCTCAACCTCTCAAGCATTGAGATTATAGGTATAGGTATAGGT